CTTTATCTCACGATGGTCTTATTCAACCACATGGTAAGCTAGAGTCGCCACACCAGCATCCGCGAAAGAATTAAGTGAGAACAGGACCATTCACCTTAAAGGCTTCACAGCACATAGTAGCACAACCACACTACTGAAATGAGTTCTACTGTTTAGGCAACGTTGTTACTTTCAGTCGACTAAAGAGATCACACTCCGAAATGAACAAGAATCTTTATATAGTACTAGATAAGATAGTTGTTATGTACAAAACGCAAGTGAAATGACCCCGAGGAGTTATTTGACTCATCCAATTTATAATCCCAACACCAAGATGAGAGTAGTGGAATCGGTTCAAGATATTCCTATAAAAATTCCTAAAAGGAAGCCTTTCGCATTGTAAATATCGTAGAATTTCCGTCCAAAATTCTTGCCAAAAACTTTCTATATTGAATTAACAATACTATAGAGCAAACAGAGGAACAAAGTTATACATACAAGAAGATCTGTGAGTTAACAAACGATTTTTGGTTTCTATAGGAATTCTTTGATCTAAGCAGAACTTTACTTTGTCAACATCAGATCATATGTTTTATGAAAATCATCAGAGTTTTGAAACGATTTCCTAGGCCCCGTAAATTGACTTATAGCTCTTTTAACGTTGTTGGCATAAACCATTCGCGAGAATCGTAATGTAAGATGATTTGTTTGTAGATCTTGGACTTTAACCTTTCGATTGTGTCGTATGTTGTAAGGCATGTTGCGTCGCTTTGTAGGAATTGCTTATATCATAAGGTTTATAACCTCGATCAGTTGATAGTTATAGAGTATTGCTATCGTTACTGTTACGATTGTTGGCCCGCCGTTTTCTTTCAAAAATGTCCCCATAAATATGCCGATATGCAAATCGAATAAAATAGTTAAAGGGTTGACAAATTTAAACCGCATATAGTACAAGTTCAAGACCTCGATCTGGCCCTCAAAACACTCCGATACCATGGCCCTGTTGCAATCAACGTTGAACACCTTCAAGCCGGAAGTGAGCTTCATCCGAAAATGAAGCGACTACTTCCTTTTTCACAGGAAAACGGGATGATGCGTCGCTACTGAAATATCTATTACTTCATTTTGTCATGATATAACGTTTAACCTACCATTTGATTATTTAATAATATTTAGAAAATTTTATTAAAAAATCTCTTTAAATTATTTTTGAAAACAAAAACATTTTAAATAAAAAATTGCTAATACTTTAAGAATATTTTTTTAAACATAAAAAAACAAAGCCAAATTTAAAAGTATTTGCTCTAACTAAAGAAATTTTGGCTAAATTGTCTTATTTAAAATGTATGATATGTTTTTTTCGTTCAAAAATTAAATTATATTTTAATTCTATAATTTTCTTTAAAGCCAATCAGTTTAATGTATGATTATTTTTAAATTAATTTATTATAAATATTTGCTTAACTATTCTTTATTTTTATTATTAAATTTAAAAAATAATATTTTCTTTTTACCTAACTACATACTTAATAAATTAAACAGCAAAGGGAGAGAGGGAGGAGGGTTTAATATTAAAAAAAAAATATTATTAAATACTTATAAATACATTTTTATAGTATTTTCTATATATAAATTTTATATGTATTACGTTTTAGGTATATATGTATGTATGTTAGTATATAAATATAGTTTATATGTACATTTATATTGTTTATAACTTTAGGTAATTCAACACTTAAGTACTTTAAATTATTATAAATTAATTAGCAAGTTTATGTAATATTTTATGAATTTAGAGATTTTTAGGTTTTATAATATATAAGGAAAGGTATTAAAAGCTAATGATATATAAAAAAACTCCTTACTATTTAAATATAAAGGTACATGCAAAATATGGAACTACTGTATAAAACTCAAACTCAAAAAATAAACAAAAACTGACATAACTATCACAATGGAGACATATACGATACATTTATATATAAATAGTAGAAAAAAAAATAATTTATACGCTCGTTTTACGAAATTTATTATAGAATTAAGAACATATTTCTTTAAGTCCTTTAAAAGAACTTTTTATTTCATATCAAGACAGCCACTTATAAAAAGTTAACTTAAAAATTTTACAATAAATTTATAGTAAAAATTTCTTTCATTTAGGGGTTTTTAGTTAATTTAAGTAGAAAAAAATTAATTTATTTTCCAAAGATGTATAAAAATTAGTCTAAAGATGATATTTAAGTTTAAATGTTAAGGTAATTGCTATTAGGTATAATTATTTATGTCTCTTTAATAATATAAATATTTGCACATATTGTTATTATTTCAATTTTGCAAACATTTCTTTGTTTAGTGTTGTTATTAAGGTACATTAACTCTCGTGAAATTAGTTTTTATCTTAAGAACTTATTAACTATTTTTAACTATTTTTTGTTGTGAAATTTATTTAACAAAAAAACAAAATTTCGTTTTGGGAGAACTTTAACATAATTAACACTTACCGCTAAGTTACTTAGAACTGTTATGAGTTTAAAGTAAGATTCAACTTTTAACTGTGAGTGTTTAAAACTAACCCTTAAGTTGTTTAAACTTAACTATAACTTAAGCGAGCGGTCCAATAGGTATAAAGTAATTTAGAAAATTTGTAATGTTAAATTTTATAAAATTTATTTATAAAATTCCATTTCCTTGTAAAATTTCAGTTTCAAGATGTTCTCAATAAACAAGGATTTGACGAAAAAGTTGAAATTTGTACTTTAAACATTATTATAACGGACTTAATAATGGGTAATTACAAAATTTTGATCATCAAGTAATTCAAGACATTATAATTAACATCAAGATTATTTCAGGACACTTTTAACTGAAGAATGAATAAAAATAAATTTATATACATTCAGTAATCGGTGAGTACAATTTTAAATTTTATTAGAAGTTTAAACTTTGTAAAGTCTGCTAACGGCAACATCTTCAGGTGAATTTAAGAAAAAGAATAGTCGATTTATGAATATCGATCCATAGCTCTAGGCAACTTAAATTTAAACTAGAACTAGAACTGAACTAGAACTGAACTAGAACTGAATTAGAACTGAACTAGAACTGAACTAGAACTGAACTAGAACTGAACTAGAACTGAACTAGAACTAGAACTGAACTGAACTGAACTGAACTAGAACTGAACTAGAACTGAACTAGAACTGAACTAGAACTGAACTAGAACTGAACTAGAACTGAACTAGAACTGAACTAGAACTGAACTAGAACTGAACTAGAACTGAACTAGAACTGAACTAGAACTGAACTAGAACTGAACTAGAACTGAACTAGAACTGAACTAGAACTAAACTAGAACTGAACTAGAACTGAACTAGAACTGAACTAGAACTAACTATTTGAACTGAAGAACTGAACTAGAACTGAAACTAGAACTGAAACTAGACTGAACTAGAAACTGAACTAGAACTGACTAGAACTGAACTAGAACTGAACTAGAACTGAACTAGAACTGAACTAGAACTGAACTAGAACTGAACTAAGAACTGAACTAGAACTGAACTTAGAACTGAACTAGAACTGAACTAGAACTGAACTAGAACTGAACTAGAACTGAACTAGAACTGAACTAGAACTGAACTAGAACTGAACTAGAACTGAACTAGAACTGAACTAGAACTGAACTAGAACTGAACTAGAACTGAACTAGAACTGAACTAGAACTGAACTAGAACTGAACTAGAACTGAACTAGAACTGAACTAGAACTGAACTAGAACTGAACTAGAACTGAACTAGAACTGATCTAGAACTGAACTAGAACTGAACTAGAACTGAACTAGAACTGAACTAGAACTGAACTAGAACTGAACTAGAACTGAACTAGAACTGAACTAGAACTGAACTAGAACTGAACTAGAACTGAACTAGAACTGAACTAGAACTGAACTAGAACTGAACTAGAACTGAACTAGAACTGAACTAGAACTGAACTAGAACTGAACTAGAACTGAACTAGAACTGAACTAGAACTGAACTAGAACTAAACTAACTGAACTAGAACTGAACTAGAACTGAACTAGAACTGAACTAGAACTGAACTAGAACTGAACTAGAACTGAACTAGAACTGAACTAGAACTGAACTAGAACTGAACTAGAACGAACTAGAACTAGAACTAGAACTGAACTAGAACTGAACTAGAACTGACATAGAACTGAACTAGAACTGAACTAGAACTGAACTAGAACTGAACTAGAACTGAACTAGAACTGAACTAGAACTGACTAGAACTGACTAGAACTGAACTAGAACTGACTGCAACTAGAACTGAACTAGAACTGAACTAGAACTGAACTAGAACTAGAACTAGAACTGAACTAGAACTAGAAACTGAACTAGAACTAGAACTAGAACTGAACTAGAACTAGAACTGAACTAGAAATGAACTAGAACTGAACTAGAACTGAACTGAACTGAACTAGAACTGAACTAGAACTGAACTAGAACGAACTATAACTGAACTAGAACTGAACTAGAACTGAACTAGAACTGAACTAGAACTAGAACTGAACTAGAACTAAAGATTTTAGTTTTACATCAAATTTCACTTGTTTTGGGACTTCTTGAGGAGTTTTATTGAATATAAACTTAATTTCAATTAGTGATTAAACTGCATACATTTTGGACTCTCTCTCTTTTTCAGTTCAAAGAGAACCTATGCTCATAATTCTAAATTAAACTAAGATTTTTGTGCGATTTACAACTAATTTATGTTTATGCATGATTTAACTAATGAGAATCTTGTGAAAATTAGTAACAGTTAAACTGTATAAATTTAATGAGATGCTTTTTCTATAATTAACAATAATTAATGAATTTTTGCACTTACTAAACTACGTTCTTATCATTTAAATAAAACTTATCAAATAATGTTAACAGGTACCAAATAAAATAAGGTAATTGTAACAGAAATGACTAGAAAAAAATTTAAAAATCTAAAAAAATATATATTAATTTGTGCGTTTGTTTAGGAAAATTCATAAAAAAGCCTAAACACAATAATGGCGAACTACTCAGGAAAAAGTATATGAAAATGTAGTGCTTTGTGGTATTTTATTTTAAATTATCTCATAGTAGTTGTTATCGAGAAGCCTTATTGTGTTTATTGTCTTATCCTTTTTCGTTTTATATGCGGTTGTTTGAGGGAAAGCGGTTTGAGGGTTGTTTTATCGGTTATCGACGTTTTATAACAATTGAAAATAGTTTTTGACAACTTAAACTATTGCTAATTTTTCAATTAATGTCTACAATTTCAAATACATATTAAATTGAAAGGAAAAAAAAAAACACAAGTCACGTAAGGCTGTTTAAAAACTTTAAAGAAAGGAAACAATATTTGCAATTAAGGGTAAAACGGATTTTTAAAAAATTATATATTATAAATATTTTCTTATATATATTGAAATACATATAAATAAAATATGTTAGTACTTAATGCATATACATTTTAATTACTATTACTATTTACACTTAAATAAATTTTACAATTTTTCAATAGGTTTCCTAATTGATTAACTTAAATACGTTTTATTTTTTACATATAATAACTTTTTGTGTCCTTTATTTTTATCAGAGGAATTTAGGGGGCTTCTTAAAATGGCAAACTGGCCACAAACATGTTTTCAATTAAGGCGGGCGCTGGCACTAGATCCTCTAATTTCAAGTAGAATATTCTCTGTAAACCTTGTACACTTAATGATCTTAGTTCGGGTAATTTACCTAGTAGCCGACTGAAATAGTGTGGTTTCTTTTGTGCTTCGGCATTGTAGGTTACATGATCTCGTAGACTACCTATGATTTTCATTTGTAGTTGTTCGACTTTTTTCGGTTCTCTTAGGCCATGACGTTCTGAAAGAAGAGAATATAAAGAAGAATTTTTGAGACGTTTAAGAATAAAAATTTTAACTTGCTTGACGAGATTGAAAGTTATGATGTTAAATGTATACTGTATAGATCAGTCTCTAGTCCAGACTATAAATCAGTCTCTGGTCCAGACTATAGATCAGTCTCTGGTCCAGACTTAAGATCAGTCTATAGTCCAGACTATAGATCAGTCTATAGTCCAGACTATAGATCAGTCTATAGTCCAGACTATAGATCAGTCTATAGTCCAGACTATAGATCAGTCTATAGTCAGGACTATAGATCAGTCTATAGTCCAGACTATAGATCAGTCTATAGTCCAGACTATAGATCAGTCTATAGTCCAGACTATAGATCAGTCTATAGTCCAGACTATAGATCAGTCTATAGTCCAGACTATAGATCAGTCTATAGTCCAGACTATAGATCAGTCTATAGTTCAGACTATAGATCAGTCTATAGTTCAGACTATAGATCAGTGTATAGTCCAGACTATAGATAAATCTATAGCCCAGACTATAGATCAGTCTATAGTGCAGACTATAGATCAGTCTATAGTGCAGACTATAGATCAGTCTATAGTAGATCAGTCTATAGTATAGACTATAGATCAATCTATAGTCCAGACTATAGATCAATCTATAGTCCAGACTATAGATCAATCTATAGTCCAGACTATAGATCAATCTATAGTCCAGACTATAGATCAATCTATAGTCCAGACTATAGATCAGTCTATAGTCCAGACTATAGATCAATATATAGTCCAGACTATAGATCAATCTATAGTCCACACTATAGATCAGTAAATAGCCCAGACTATAGATCAGTCTATAGTGCAGACTATAGATCAGTCTATAGTCCAGACGATAGATCAGTCTATAGTCTAGATCAATCTATAGCCCAAACTATAGATCAGTTTATAGTCCAGTCTACACTATAGATCAGTTTATAGTGCAGTCTATAGATCAGTCTATAGTCCTGACTATAGATCAGTCTATAGTCCTGACTATAGATCAGTCTATAGTCAAGACTATAAGTCTATAGTCTAGATTGTAGATTAATCTATAGGCCAAACTATAGATCAGTTTATAGTCCAGTCTAAACTATAGATCAGTCTGTTGTCCAGATTGTAGATCAGTCTGTAGTCAGTTTATAGTTGTGACTATAGATCAGTATGTAGTCAAGTCTAATGACCATCCAATAGTCGAGACTATAGATCAGACTATAGTCAAGTCTATACATCTGTCCATAGATCGGTCTAAGTATTCTACTAACCTGTAACAAGTGTCAACGCACACAGACATGCGAACGCCGATATGTCAATCTCCAGATTATGTAAACTTTTGCTAAACTCTAAAATACCATTCAACCAATCACCAAACGAACGTTGACACTGGCTCCGATGCAAAACGATGCCATTGCAGAAAGTCATTTTGGTATCATCGACACGTGCCCGATAAGACAAACGCAAAACGAATAATTCCAAAGAGGCCGATTGCAAAAGTAACTCTTGATCTTCAGCCGTTAGATCTGAATAGCCGGGTATTTTTTCGGCAAATTGTTTAATAACATCAACCGAAGTCGTTAGAAGATTATAGAACTGTTGAACCTTTTCGGCTTCACTCATGACGACAGGTGAGGCGGCTTGTGAAGGTTCACGATATTGGGAGTAGTCGAGACAGGAGGGATCAGGTGTGGTATCAACATGAGAACGTACTAAAGCGGTTATAAGAGAGACAGGTGGGGATGGTGGTGATTCTTGTGGTGATTTGGGTTTGGAAGGCAAACGTCCTCGTCGACCTTTTAGAGAATCGGTTCGCACCACCTCCTTGACCATGCCGACGGCTAAACATTTTTGAAAACGACAGAATTGACAACGATTGCGTCGTCTCTTGTCGACTGGACAATTTTTATCGGCCAAGCAGACGTATTTGGAACCTTTTTGGACGGTACGTTTGAAAAATCCCTTACAGCCTTCACATGTTCGTACGCCGTAGTGTTGGCATGCTGCCGTATCACCACATACCGCACACAATTGAGAGGGTGGCGTTGGTATTACACGGCCATTGAGCAAGTCTGTGGTTTGTGTTATGTGATGCAGTATGGGAGTCGATGTTTGCTGTCGCACACTGGGCGAATTGGAGGCTGAGCTTGGTGCGCTCGATAGTTGCGAATGTGTGTGATGCTTGAGATGTAGTGATGAACTACTACCGCTACCGATTATCAGCTTAGGAAGTTTCGGACTATGACTGATGGGCGATTCCGAACGATTGACGGGCAATGAGGCTCTACGGAGTGGAGCCAAGGCTACCGTAGAAGCAGCTGCCGAGGCTGCTTCCAGTTCGGACATGGTGGGAAATGTGGGTAAACTATAACGTTCAGCTGCCGAAGATTGATAGTTCTGGAAAGATATATAATGAAAATTGTTTGGATTAGAATCAGAATTTTATTTGTCGCTTATATTGCACAATGGGGAATATTTCAAAGATTTTTTATGAATTTAAACTTACATTCGGTTGCGACGTTAGCTGATATTGCTGATAGAAACTTTCTCCCCCTGTGGATGTATTGAAATTCTGTACATTTTCATTGCCCGAACTGGAACCGTTATTAAACTCATACGAGGAAGCCGAAGAACTTGATGAAGCTGGAGTCGTTGTGGCATTAAAATGTCCATGATAACTAAAATTACTAGTTGTCTGCGGTGGCTGACTGTGGAGATGCTGATGACTCCCAGCTAAATTATGTTGATTCTGCAGCTGTGAATGTAAATGAGCGTGCTGCTGGTGATGTTGTGTATGAGTTGCCTGATGATGAGAGCTGACGGATGTATTAGTGTTGTTGGAGGTGGTGTGTTGATTTAATGCCGGACCACCTATAGCCTCTGTGGAAGTAGACAATGGATAACAATCTTCATCCATTTTAATAGTTAGTTCCGTAGTTAAGGAATCTGAAGTAGAAGATGATGTACCGTATTTAAGAGAGTAGGTTTCTTGAAAACTGGGTAGTGAGAGTGGTCCACCCAGGGGCGATAAAAGAGGATCTCCACCTGAACGTGAATGACCAATATGATGGCCGGATTGTTGTTGCTGCTGTTGTTGTAAAGCTTGTCTTTCTTGTAGAGTATGTAAAGCTATGGCCGGATCACTGCTGGACCTTAAACTGAGAAGACCAATCTCTTGAGGTGTAGAACGATCAAAACACAACGAAGAGTGATCTTGTTCTGAGTTGGGTGTAGTAGCGGTATGCTGTTCGGGTATCGAGGAAAGTCTTTTTTCACGAAGGCAGGTTAATTTTGTAAGGTTCTCAATAGAGCTGGTAATATCCTCACTGGAACCCACCAAAGTCTCACAGGAAGAATGTAAATCTTGCAGCTGATTGTGATGATGATGATGCGCAGATGTCTCTGTATCCCGTGAGGGATTTTGATCAATAGTAGGTGAGAGTAAAGATTGATTGGAATCGGTAGGGAAAAATAAATCTGACAATTGATTAAAGGTATGATCAATTAACTCCGAATGCTCTGAAGTGGTGGTATCCGTTAAGTTACCAATTAAATGATCCTCTGAAGCCACCGATAATATATGATGATTACCGCTATTCGACGTCACGTTATGATGATGGTGGTGATGATGATGATGCTGGTGTCCACCACTTTGAGTTTGTAAAGGATTGTTGTGGTGTTGATGATGGTGATGGTGAGGATGATGTTGTGACGCTTGAGTTTGGTTTTGTTGAGAGTTCGATTGTGTGGAAAAATTATCAAACGGAGAAAGAGTACCGAAAGTGTTCTGTAACGGGAGACGGTTTAAAAATGACTAAATCAGTTTTTGTCTAAACAAGTACAATAAAATATATTAATAATTATAAAACCTTAAAGCTAAGTACTTTATGATATTTTACCTATGTTAGACATGCGCAGTTTTCTAATACTATTCGAAAACCCAATAGACAAGAGTCGGACGGACGGAGGAACACACAACATTGTTTGTGATTGGCAGTTATTGTTACTGTCTTGTTTGCTGTCAAGTTACAAATAATGAATTTTTTATATGGTTATTATCAGTTAATGTTTTGATTTTTTTTATGTAACTTGTACAATTTTCAACCCTCTTTAAGAATTGTTTATACTGTTGATGTGTGTGAATTTAGCCCACTGTTAACGCGCGTTGAATGGACCCTTTGGCTGCGAAATAAGAAAAGGTGTTGCTGGTGATAATTTGTTGATTGGTTGTGGTTGACTTTCGCTTGAGTGTTTTTGTACATATTTTGCGTAAATATTTGCTTTTCGTTGTTGTTATTGTTAATGATATTGTAATTAGTAAAATATTGTTGTGCAAATTAAAGGAGGGATTACCTAAATCGTATATCATTTTCAAGCAGTTGTTTTGATAAACAGATTTGAATATAAATGTGTTTGTTTATGTCTTTTAGGATACGGATATTAACTATAACTATTTTTTAAGGTGTGTGATGCTTCAATAATAATATTTGAAAAAAATAACGGTTAAAATATTCCCATGTGCTGAAAATCTTAGTTAACATTGCAAATTGCATTATAGAAATAGCTGAATTTTCAATTAGTTTTGTTAAGGCTGTTGACAAACCTTTAAAAGTAGTATTTTGTTTAAAGATGTTAATTGTTTTAATTGTTATAACTAATTTAACTTTTTAACTTTGACCCAGGTGTTAAAAGAGGAACTGTTTAACGATTTCAGTCTGTTTTTTTGAAGCATTAGAACATTGATAAGAGCCATGGGATCCGGATAAATTTTATATGTTAAGTCTTAAATCCTAAAAGTTCGAGTACTACTTATATGATGTGTTATTAGCCTGGACTGGTGCGATTAGGGAGGATGATGAAACCGATACCATTACAGTCATCTTTCTTACAAATTGTAAGTCAGTTGTTCAGACTGAAAATTTTGAGAAAGCTCAGATGATCTGATGAGTTCACCTGGCACACCTCAAGGTCTACACACGCCCACGGAGAGCATATAAGAATGCTCGGTATCAGTAATCACGAGACACTATGTTATTGACAATTGCGTCAGAAGATTAGATGTTGATTATTATGTCTACATTAGAAGTTTCCTCAATACAGAGGAAGAACCATGTTTTATCAAATCTGTTATTACCCAACGCTATTTTGGTTCTTCTTCTAGGCATGGAGGACCTATTAGCGATACACCTCAAGCGTGTCTTCATTATTTTCAATCGGGTGGTTTAATGCAGGAAGGAGGATATAATATTCAGTTGAGACTTCTGCAACCAGGTCAGCAATTTAATGGACCCACATGAGCTTTTCGTGGTATTAACAATTTTGATCACATTAGGATAAAATTATTTCTCCCTTCTTAACTCTGATTCCGTGTAGGGATTCATTCATACTTAAACCCTACCTCCCCGATTTTGCAACGAGAATATACAGTTATGATTTCAAAAGGGATGGGTTTAGTTAGTAGACGAGAATATAATCAAGGCAATAGATGATACTATCTATGAGACTTCAGTCAAGACCATGTTATAGACGAGACTACAGAGAAAACTATACTGAAGAATGTGGACGAAACTATAGAGGACACTATAGTCTAGACTATAGATTTTATATAATCCAGACAATAGACGAGACTGTATATCAGATTATAATCAAGACTGTAGACTAGGCTATAGCCAAGACTACAGAAAAAAAAATATACTCTAGAATATAGACGAAACTATAGATTACATTATTGTCTGGACTATATATGACTTTATATAACGGAGACAATAGACGAGACTGTTTACCAGATTATAATCAAGACTATAGTCAAGACTATAGACTACTGATAAAACTATACGAGACAACAGAGAAAGCTATACTCAAGAATATAGGCGAAACTATAGAGGACATTTTATTCTAGTCTATAGATGTTTTTATAAATTCAAGCCAGTAGACGAGACTGTATACCTGACTATAATCAAGACTAAAGAACAGACTATAGACTACAGATAAAACTATACTCAAGAATATAGACGAAACTTGACTATAGTCGGGTCCATAGTCTAGACTATATATTAGACTATAGACCGGATAATAGTCAAGACTATGGACCAGACTATAGTTAAGAATATACATTAGACTACTTATAGTCAATGATGTTGCGAGGACTGGGAAAAATGAAACTGACCTTTTCTGGTATCTCATTTGCAAATTTCTGGTCCAACATGAACTGGACGCACAATCTCAAATCTGGTTAACGTCTACTAAGTATAGAAGCTGTTTCCCTTACTCTGCTATTGTCCTACATTTACCTAGGTACTACATATATTGGATCAATTTTAGTAGTTTAGTTTGGAAGCAGTATTCTGAAATCCATGAGAATAAAACTAGTCCCATAATTAGTTTAAAGGTTCTAAGAGTTATAGGAACGTAAAGTATACAAACTATAATTATCTTCTGTATCTCCTAAGTATCAGTTACAAATTACCTCTAAAAAGTTTTCTAAGCTTTTTTCTGCCTATTTATATAAAGCTTTAGTTCTACTAACTTTAATTATATTAAACCAATAAATCGTTAATTAAAATCAAAATAATTTTTTATAAATTAATAAAAAAAAATCAAAATCGCTTCTTACATTTGGTTGCAATAGTAACATGCTTGTTGTAGCGTTTGTTGACCGTGTCTTGTGATGTTGATTTTGCTGCTGTTGATTATTGCTTGTTAGACGATTTGCTGTTGTACTACTTAATGTTGATGATGCTAATGATGTTGCTCCAGCAGCTGCTGTTGTTGTAGTTACAGCTATAGATGTTTTTGTTATTGAATTAGCAGATGATACAGTAGTTCGATTGTTTGTTGTTTTAGTGGCAACAATTGATTGTGACTGGGTCTCTTCTGATTCTGGTTCTATTGCTGTTGTTATTTCAGTTTTAATTTTAAGCAATTTAGTATTTCCACTAATATTATTGATGCTATTGCTGTTACTTTTATTATTAAATGTTTGTTGGTTGCTTGTTGTTGTTGTTGTCGCTGTTGTTTTTGTAGTTGTTGTTATTATTGTTGAGATCTTCGGTGGTGTTGTATTAGCTGTAGTTGTTGTTGTGGGTGTTGGTAACGTTGCTGTTGCACGTTCTTCTTGTAAATTGGCGTTGGTGTTAAATGCTGCACCTGTAATATAAAACAAACAGAGTCATGAAACAAGTGCTTCACTTTTTCAAAGAATTTATGTTCGTTCGATTTTTTGTGCTAAGAACTAAATACGAAAAATAAATAAATAAGGCAGCCAACCACAGCCATTCAGTAAATTTGTTGGCATTTACAAGAAATGCTTAAAAATATTTATTAATTTATATGATTTTAGTTACGGTTTAGTGCACAGACTATAAAATACGTCGAAACGAAAAAAAGTAATGCAAATAAAATTATAATATAAATAGAAATAAATGAGTTTTTATTTGTATATAAACAATCGTACCTTTGAGACTAATAATGACATTTAAGATTTAAATTTGATTTTTTTTTTTTTTTTTGAAAATGAGGAGGGCTGTTAGTTGTAACCGTTATGTTTTAGTATGTAAGCAGAGTGATTGAGAATTAAGCAAACAATAGTTGATGATGATTTTGGAAAAGCGAGATGAATTTGCTCCACAGGAGAGAAAACTTATAAATGATTGTAGATATTGCATATACAAGAAACTTTAATATTTATGATTTGGAAAATATTTGAACTTTTACAAGACAGTAACAATTTGGAAATTTTTGCTCGCTTACAATATCCTAGTCTTGCTTCGCTAATGATAAACTTGAGAACTTGACTATAGAGATCAAAAGTTAATCATGCGCATATTCATTCTATAGATCGTGACCTAAATTTCGGATGGACATTAGACTACTGACCAGACTATAAGGTAGGCTACAGACTATACTACTACAGACTTAGACTAGACTATAGACTAGACTATAGACTAGACTATAGACTAGACTATAGACTAGACTATAGACTAGACTATAGACTAGACTATAGACTAGACTATAGACTAGACTATAGACTAGACTATAGACTAGACTATAGACTAGACTATAGACTAGACTATAGACTAGACTATAGACTAGACTATAGACTAGACTATAGACTAGACTATAGACTAGACTATAGACTACTATAGACTAGACTATAGACTAGACTATAGACTAGACTATAGACTAGACTATAGACTAGACTATAGACTAGACTATAGACTAGACTATAGACTAGACTATAGACTAGACTATAGACTAGACTATAGACTAGACTATAGACTAGACTATAGACTAGACTATAGACTAGACTATAGACTAGACTATAGACTAGACTATAGACTAGACTATAGACTAGACTATAGACTAGACTATAGACTAGACTATAGACTAGACTATAGACTAGACTATAGACTAGACTATAGACTAGACTATAGACTAGACTATAGACTAGACTATAGACTAGACTATAGACTAGACTATAGACTAGACTATAGACTAGACTATAGACTAGACTATAGACTAGACTATAGACTAGACTAAAGACTAGACTATAGACTAGACTATAGACTAGACTATAGACTAGACTATAGACTAGACTATAGACTAGACTATAGACTAGACTATAGACTAGACTATAGACTAGACTAGACTATAGACTAGACTATAGACTAGACTATAGACTAGACTATAGACTAGACTATAGACTAGACTATAGACTAGACTATAGACTAGACTATAGACTAGACTATAGACTAGACTATAGACTAGACTATAGACTAGACTATAGACTAGACTATAGACTAGACTATAGACTAGACTATAGACTAGACTATAGACTAGACTATAGACTAGACTATAGACTAGACTATAGACTAGACTAGACTATAGACTAGACTATAGACTAGACTATAGACTAGACTATAGACTAGACTATAGACTAGACTATAGACTAGACTATAGACTAGACTATAGACTAGACTATAGACTAGACTATAGACTAGACTATAGACTAGACTATAGACTAGACTATAGACTAGACTATAGACTAGACTATAGACTAGACTATAGACTAGACTATAGACTAGACTATAGACTAGACTATAGACTAGACTATAGACTATAGACTAGACTATAGACTAGACTATAGACTAGACTATAGACTAGACTAGACTATAGACTAGACTAAGACTAGACTATAGACTAGACTATAGGACTAGACTATAGACTAGACTATAGACTAGACTATAGACTAGACTATAGACTAGACTATAGACTAGACTATAGACTAGACTTTAGACTAGACTATAGACTAGACTATAGACTAGACTATAGACTAGACAAGACAATAGGCTAGTCAATAGTCTTTTACATAGATTCTGAAAATAAGACTTCATAAATAAGGTCTTAAACTGTAGATTCCATAATTCAATATTTTTTCCATAAATCACTTTGTATGAAACATTTGTTGTTACACTATGTGGATTGGGTTCTTTATCATACCTAATATATATTCTTATGCTTAGCTAAAAGATGATTTACAAACAAAATTATTAAGCGTAAAAATATAAAAGTTTATGATTAAATTATACTTGGAAAGGTAAATCCAATTTAGGAAGTGTTAATCAACAACATATTACAACATATTGAAAACGTGAAAATATTTGAGCAAAATTTATTCACAAGAACTTGGAGATATATTCTGGTAAATTTTCTGCGATCAATCTATAAAGATGATTTGTGCTAATATTTGTAATATCAATATAAATGTATAAAAATCGGTTTTGCAGGATTTTCTATAACTGTTATTTTAAATATAATAATTATACATTACATTATTACTACAGCATTACACACATTCCTTTAGAACATAAAAATTTCGTCTTAAAAATTTGTTATTAACTACCAAATATATCATTATTATTTTGTATATATTTTAAATAATAATCATATGTACGTAAGAAGTAGCCTTAAGTGGAAGTCCAAACTTAATTACAATTCATATCCACTATAGATTTATCAATGTTTACTACTTAAAAAAATGCATACATACATACACATATATTCATTTATATGTACATAAAAATAAGTAAAAATTAAACTTGTTGTTTCGATAAATTTATGATGGTCTCATAAATTATATTACGACTATACGAGAACGTGTAATATATATTTTTAAAGAACCTATACATTTATACATACATATGTATGTACTTGTGTCTTTAAAGTTTAAACAAAGGCTAAAATTAAATAGTATTTCGATTAGATTTTTGCAAATTTATAAAAACAGTATAAAATTAACAAAAAACCTAACAAATTAAATGTATTTTCAAGGCAGACACATTTGTAGTTGTAAATAGACATACAGACAGTGGAAGTTAATATTTTAAAGATGCTGGTTGGGATTTGGTAATAAATACAACAAGTACACATTTAGTTAATTTTAATTTTTTTTATCGCAGATGAAGAAGACTTATAAGTTGGATATTATGAAATGATACTCGCTGTGTAAACTCTTGTGCAGGCTATGGTTTTGATAGAAGAGTAGATTATAGTCTAGTGTATAGTCTAGTCTATAGTCTAGTGTATGGTCTAGTCTATGGTCTAGTCTATGGTCTAGTCTATGAACTAGTCTATGGTCTAGTCTATGGTCTAGTCTATAATCTAGTCTATGTCTAGTCTATGGTCTAGTCTATGGTCTAGTCTATAGTCTAGTCTATGGTGTAGTCTACGGTCTAGTCTATGGTCTAGTCTGTGGTCTAGTCTATGGTCTACTCTATGGTATAGTGTATAGTGTATGGTCTACTCTATGGTATAGTGTCTAGTCTAGTCTAGTCTAGTCTAGTCTAGTCTAGTCAGTCTATAGTCTAGTTCAGTCTATAGTCTAGTCAGTCTATAGTCTAGTCTATAGTCTAGTCTATAGTCTAGTCTATAGTCTAGTCTATAGTCTAGTCTATAGTCTAGTCTATAGTCTAGTCTATAGTCTAGTCTATAGTCTAGTCTATAGTTAGTCTATAGTCTAGTCTATAGTCTAGTCTATAGTCTAGTCTATAGTCTAGTCTATAGTCTAGTCTATAGTCTAGTATAGTCTAGTCTATAGTCTAGTCTATAGTCTAGTCTAGTAGTCTAGTCTATAGTCTAGTCTATAGTCTAGTCTAGTAGTCTAGTCTATAGTCTAGTCTATAGTCTAGTCTATAGTCTAGTCTATAGTCTAGTCTATAGTCTAGTCTATAGTCTAGTCTATAGTCTAGTCTATAGTCTAGTCTATAGTCTAGTCTATAGTCTAGTCTATAGTCTAGTCTATAGTCTAGTCTATAGTCTAGTCTATAGTCTAGTCTATAGTCTAGTCTATAGTCTAGTCTATAGTCTAGTCTATAGTCTAGTCTATAGTCTAGTCTATAGTCTAGTCTATAGTCTAGTCTATAGTCTAGTCTATAGTCTAGTCTATAGTCTAGTCTATAGTCTAGTCTATAGTCTAGTCTATAGTCTAGTCTATAGTCTAGTCTATAGTCTAGTCTATAGTCTAGTCTATAGTCTAGTCTAGTATAGTCTATAGTCTAGTCTATAGTCTAGTCTATAGTCTAGTCTATAGTCTAGTCTATAGTCTAGTCTATAGTCTAGTCTATAGTCTAGTCTATAGTCTAGTCTATAGTCTAGTCTATAGTCTAGTCTATAGTCTAGTCTATAGTCTAGTCTATAGTCTAGTCTATAGTCTAGTCGATAGTCTAGTCTATAGTCTAGTCTATAGTCTAGTCTATAGTATCTATAGTCTAGTCTATAGTCTAGTCTATAGTCTAGTCTATAGTCTAGTCTATAGTCTAGTCTATAGTCTAGTCTATAGTCTAGTCTATAGTCTAGTCTATAGTCTAGTCTATAGTCTAGTCTATAGTCTAGTCTATAGTCTAGTCTAGTCTACTTAGTCTAGTCTATAGTCTAGTCTATAGGTCTAGTCTATAGTCTAGTCTATAGTCTAGTCTATAGTCTAGTCTATAGTCTAGTCTATAGTCTAGTCTATAGTCTAGTCTATAGTCTAGTCTATAGTCTAGTCTATAGTCTAGTCTATAGTCTAGTCTATAGTCTAGTCTATAGTCTAGTCTATAGTCTAGTCTATAAGTATAGTCTATAGTCTAGTCTATAGTCTAGTCTATAGT